AATATGTATCTGCATTTTGTCATTTGCAAGAAAATCATCAAAACAATATTTGTTTGATATTAAAATTTGATCATTTAAACGAAATTTCGGCGATAAACAAAAGATATTTTTTGTTACCAAATTGTTATAATTTTTTCTCTATGGGGTTTTCCTTCTAAGCAATAAGTTTCTGATATAGTAGACAGTGTGACCATTTTGGCATTTTTGCAGCTAGATTTAGCATTTTTTATTTTGATTTAGCTGTAAAATTTTAATTTAGCATTTGGCATTTTATTTAGCGTTTTTATAAAATATTTTTAGCATTTTTAGCTTTTTTTTGCAATTTTAGTATATAAACAAAAAAAGACAAATTTTTCAAAAAAGATTTATATTGGAAATAGGTTTAACCGGAAAAAATCAGAATTAAATGTCTACCCAAACACAAGCAACAAGAAATATGAGAAATGTAATAATTTACACTGTAATTCAAAATAATGCAAAAAGATTCATGAAGATAAATAACTTAAAAATACGCCAATACAAGTGAATACTTTAAAATGTTGTATTCTAAAATATTTTTCTGGAACCCAATGCTTTTTTAAATTCGAGGTGATAGAAATAATTCAAGAGATTTCATATATTTTTACAATTTTTTTACAAAATAGCGTATTACAAACTAATACTTTTTGTTTGCTCATGGAATGAAACATATAATTTTGGAAAAGGCTGTATATAACGGTTAATTAACAAATTTTATTTTTTCCTATACGAAATAAAGAGGTTTTAATTTTTATCATCCTTCAGGAGTTTTTGTTAATTTATTGAAAATAAGTATTGAAAAAAATCAATAATATATAATTAAGACTTTCTCATCCTACTTTCTGTTCTTTTTATTTTTACTAAATTTTTTGTAATTTTGTTGTCACGTTTTTTTTTTTTTTTTTTTTTAAACACATAAATTTCGAAAATATTATTGACAATTTATTCCAGAATTACAAACTTACGGATTTGAATATATGTATCTCTCAATTCATTTCATACATTCTCATACATATTTTTCCGAAAAAATCTTGGAAGTATGAGTTATAAACCTGACATCTATTCACCGAGATTTAAAATTATTTCAACGGAATTTTCAATATTTTTGTGACATGAAAACCATTTATAAAGTGTTTTGAGAAAGACAAATAAAATTGTTTATATAAAAAAAGTAAAACTAGAAATATTATACTTTTCCTTCCGAAAACACATATAGGTTTTATACCATGAGCAACTAGTGTAATTAATAGAGTTTTAATGTAATTTTTGCATTCAGAAATATTTTAAAGTTAGAGACATTACATATTGCTAAACGGAACTTAATTTTTTACCCTACTCCACTATACTACGTTTGAGTATACTAATCGGTTAAGAATCATTTTCTGAATCGATTAAGCCATGTAAGTCTGACCGTCTGGTAGAGGTTGAAATTTTCAAAACAATAAGTACGTATGCTTTTTGATCCAATGACAAAACCTTTTAAAAATGGTTAAAGTCCGTCCTTTATTTTACCTAGCCCCCATACATATACAAATGTATAAAGCCTTTCTCAGAAAATTAGTTTAAATATATCGGAACCAAGGTTCAATTCAACATAAATGCTTTATTACGAAAAATAAATCAAATTTTATACTCATATGGTCAACCACGGCAGAATATACTTTCTTACTTGTTATAAATTACAATGAATTTCAGTTAGAAATTAATATGAATTGTTCATAAAAACACTTATAAAATTTTAGCATTTTTTCTAGCATTATTTTGGATGGGATTTAGCCGCAACATTTTTTGAGACCTGGTCACACTGATAGTAGAGTAGAGATGAGCGATCCAGTGACTTCTAAAGAACGTCGTTCTAAATGAACGTGATTTGTAAATCACTGTTCTTTAAAACAGTGACTGTGATCACGGTTTTCTCTTATAAAGCAAAACAATATTAATATTTTTTCGATTATTTTGCTTAAAACCAAATTTTTTACAATAACAACGTATTTTATTGGATCTTATATTAAGTATATACATACATAAATATTACTGATCAAAATAAAATTGGTGACATCAGAGTCAGAGAAGTTTACTATATGAAAAAAATTTCGAATTGTATACATACTATGTTTTAATACGTACTTGGTTCAATGAATTTTAGAAGGTAAAAATTCAATAGATCGATATTGCAAGTAGGTTTAGGTTTAGGAAAATATCGCTCATCTCTATAGTAGAGTAAGTATACATTTTAACAATTATATAACCATGTCTTTATTCAAGAAACAAAAACATATTCTGTGAGGAATATCTTTTGGAAGGGTGAGAATTTTCAACGGAAAAGCATTGCAGCATTATTAATGTAATTGTGCAATTAATTAATTAATAATAAAATTCATTTTTAAAATTGTAAATTAAAAGATATTTTAATATTTCTCCATAAATATAATCTAGCGATATCTTATATTTATCGTTCAGAAGAATATCAGAAGATATCTTAATTTTCTCTCCTATGTGATTATCTAGCAATATCTCTTTTTTGTCTTCTAGGAGTATTGCATTCGTATTGCCTGGGAGTATCGCCCTGGCCGCACAATCTCTCCCGAAAGGGGGTATCTTCCGCAATACGAATAAGAAAAAAGTGAGAAGAGTAAGAATTTCCCCCCATAAAGGATTACAAAAAGAGAGTGGGAATGGAAGGGAAATCTCCATTGTCCGTTACCCGAATAAACAAGATGAAATCTAACATGTCGCCTAAGTCACATCGTGCTACATCTCCCAGTTCATCAAACTCTGTACTCTGGGACAGCTGCACACAACCTAAAAAAATCCTGCATGTTACCGACCCATTTACTCTTAAAGGCCCCAATTGCGCAGTGACCAGTTATTACCACTACTAAGGTCCTTATACTCTTTCTGTCCAATCCTGGTTGCTTTTTGGTTTAATTTCGGCCATGGTGCCCTAGAAACCCTAGAATCCAGCCTACTGTGCCAGGACCGGTTGGTAGTTTTTAATTTTTTCAGAGCTTAGTCTATAGTAATAACAGATAGGGGGTTTAACAAAATCTCGTTTCCCTGAATATCACAATGTTCCGGTACCCAACACAGCCTCACTGTGTATAACCAGACTAATGATTCCAGGTCCCTTTTGCAGCTAATTACCAAGCTAGAATGTAACATTGTAGAGCTTTAAGTTCTGCCTGACTATCAACATAAATCATTACTACCGACCCCCTAGTAATGTGTGTCTTAATGATATCCATGGCTTTCCAGATCGCCAAGAATATGGTACATTCGTCCGGGACACTCTTATGTTATCATCAACCAGATAAACTCCGGTCCCTGTACCAGATTCCATCTTGGATCCATCAGTAACGACTGCACGTCCCTCAAACAGTAATTCGGACCCAATCCACCCATCCCTACTAGGAATCAGTATTAAAGGTGTTACTGCGAAGTCTAAGGTCGTAACCAAATAGTCAGAATAACCTTTTGTACTTCCTTCAATTACTGTTAGACCTACATCGTACGGTATTTTCGAGTGGCCTATCCGCTTTGGTCTTACTAGAGCTGATTCGAACAGTCTAAATAAGTTCCTAAAAAAGTAACCTAAGAAATGCAATAATGCGCTCCAATACATTTCAAGGTACTTGCTTTATTACTAACAGATTCTAACAGGCGATCTATGCCTTATTTGAAGAATTGGAAATAAGTTATTAGTACTCTTTCTAAGCTCATTAATCTGTAAGCTAAAAAATGTAATAGTGGGTTCGAATATATTTAGTGGTGGGTTTTAAGCTACTTGCCTTATTATTAATTGATTCTAACTGGGGATCTATACCTTATTTTAGGAATGGGAAATAAGCAAATCAATACTTTTACTAAGCATATAAATATACATTACCAAAAATTTGCGATACAATGTTGTTGCAGTATAAAGTTTTGTTATTTTATCTCGCTCACGTTCGTTATATTACCTTTAACTAATATCGTAAGATAAATAATAACGAGTTTGGTATATTATATTATTTAAAAAACAATATTTTATTCAAGAGTTGATCGTTTTTAACAAAGGTTTGAAATTTGAGAATTGTTTTTTTAGTGAAATTGAAAAAAAACCTTACCAAAGATATGTATGCCAATTTTTGCTTTGTTTTAAGGGTCTCAAATAAGACACGAAATCTTACCATACTTGATTAATAGAAATTAAAACAAACCTTTTTGTGTCAATAACTCGCCCATAATAAAACCTTGGTACTGTGAAGAGCGTCAGAATTTTTGTTGTATAACTTTGTGTAGTTATGAAATGATTTTGTTTACCAACTTATTTTGCAAATTCATATACACAAATCCGTATTTGGGAAGTTTTTAAAACACAAATATTGTATGCATTGAAAATAAAAGAAATGTAACAAAATGCTTACCCTTGCATTTACACAATTATTACCTTTTTACGATTTACCTATTTTCTATTTTAGAAATAGAATTCGACTTATGTTCGCAAATAAGTTTTAAATGATCAATATTCAGTCTGGATCTTTACATTTTAGTAATATTTTAGAAAAACCTCAAATTAATTTCACTTACATAATACACGCACGTAGAGCGGAAGTGATGGGTATGGAGGACATTTTTAATGCTTAGTAATCTGCTTTTCCACAAGTGAGAACAACCAACCATCTGTCTATACCATTATTACTTTAGATTTGTATTGGGTGGGTTGCCCCTAGAATAGGAAATTGTGTTAGTCAATTTTTCAACAACAAACAATTTACCTTTAAACGCAACAATTTCTGATGATTGTCAAAACAAAAAAACAAAAATAATTCCTATAGAATATTTTACAATTTGAAATGGGCTGATAACTATTGAATATTATTTAAGAAACATAAAATTAAAACAATTTAAATCACAATATCAAAATTAGAATATTCTATTTCAAATTGTAAATATTCTTAAAATGCACATGTTACCATAATTTTTTTTTAATATTGCTATCATGGCCGTTGGTCTGACTCAACACGAAACTTTTTGAAGTATCGAGTGACTTACTGTTTCATATTATTCCCCAGAGATCAGTTTAACAAATGAACGAAATTTTAGAAAAAAAATATTTTTCATAAATATTGTACTTTTAAATTTAAACTGTAAAAAGAAAGAAAAAATTGGATATTACTAAATATTCTTTACAACAGAGATTAGTTATTGTTGGGCAAAAAGTTCTAACTAAAAATTAATAAGTAAAAAATAGAAAATATTGAATGAAATAATCTACCCACGTACGTACCACCATGGGACCGGCAACAACAATAATAAACACCGATCAGAGCATTGTCCTATAGATTGGAGACGATTTCGTCGAATTTAAAATTGAGTTATTAACGTAAGACCATATTGAATTGAATCGAACGTTGACCCCCTCCCTTACCTGAGAGGGAAAACTAAATACCACATATTATAACATACATTAAACATACACATACGACGAGGTTTATTTTCTTATATTTCTTTTTTACTTACTTTTTGTTTTTGATCACACTCACACACAATGTGGTTTCATTACTTAATATTTAAGTTTCTTACATTTGTTATAATCTATTTTTTGTTTGTTTTATAATAAGGTTTTTTTTCTCGGTAAAATAAGCTTTTAAAAAATCACCAAAAACTCTTTTTAGGGTGTATTTAATGTTAGGAATTATAAGGAATATTAAAACAAGAGAAAAGTAAAAAGTTAAAAGTACAATTATTGAAAATGTCTAAAATTAAAAGCTTATTTTTTGTGGGGAAATATGACAACAAAATGAAATTTGAAACGCAATTTTAGTAATAATGATAAGATGATATTAACCAAATTATCAAATTATCTTTTGATTAGAGTGCTAATGATGAGCCATAATAATAGGGTCCGATTAGTTAGTTATATTTGAAGAATGCAAATCCTATTTTGTTTCATCAGAAATAATTAGTTTTCTATTAATGCTTCTTTCTTAAAATAAGTACTTTATTCAAATGTTATTTTAAAGTAAAATACGCATACTTATTAAAAATGTACTTTTTGGGAAAAGAACATCATTATCATTAGACAAATTTATAATTTTAACTCTTTTACGAGTAAAAGAAAAATACATAGCTTTTATAAAAGTGTCAGAACTGTTATGGACCCTGATTTAATATCATCTACTACACAAACAATAATTAAAAATTTTTTCAAATTTCATTTTTTGTCTTGTTTAAAAACTAATCTATGAAAATTTATTTTTACCGAATTGATAGAAGCAAATTGAAATTAATGTATTTAGTTACATAATTATATATTTAATTTAGGACTAATAGTGTCTTTGCCATAATGAATTTTAAAATTGAACAAAGTTTTATAAAACATTGCGTTCGTACATTCTTTGTTTTATAAATTGTTTATAATTTAGCACATTTTTATTATAAATGTAACAAACAATTTCAATTTGCTTTTGTTGGTGTTTTTGTTGTTTTTGATGTTACTGTAATAAATAATATTCAAATAGAGAAATTCAAGCCTTACAGGACTAACAATATGTTTTAATGCCACCATGATTGTTGGCTGTCGCCAGTATTTTGACCATTTTCATTAGAACCACTTACTCCACTACGACCTGGTATGGGTGGTGGTGGCACACTGAACATGTCGTGTGGTGGTCGAAATTTTTCCTCTTGCTCGTCGTCAGTTTCACGCTTTATAGAGGCTGATGGGTACATTGGATATGTGGGATATCCATCGTCTATGGGCTCTTCCTTAATCTTTATAATATCCATTTCACGGAAGTCTGGCTTACGCTCCTTGCTATCACGACGATCACGTTCACGTTCTTTATCACGACGTTCACGCTTCCTTTCGCGACGTTCACGCGATGAATCTCTTTCGCGTGACTTGGAACGTTTCTTTTTACGATCGCGCTCACGATCACGTTCGCGATCTTTTTCACGTCGATCACGTCTTTCGTAGTCATCATATTCGCGGTCACGACTGCCGCGACGCTTTCTGCGTTCACGAGATCTACTGCGTGAACGGCGGGGGCGTTCACGTTCTCTTTCACGTACACGATCTCTAGATCGTGATCGACGACGAACACTTTCACCAAATCTTGCCCCTCCTCTCTCCATGACACGAGCATTCTCGCGGTCTTCTCTCTCACGTTCCAAGCGATAACGTTCACGCTCCCGTTCGTTATCTTCACGACCCGAATGTTTAATATTAACGTCGTTGCCACCACGACGAGTGCCACCCAAACCACCACCTAGACGCCTTGGTAACCAGCCTTTAACAGTTCTAGCTCTTTCCACATCAACTAACACTCGTTTACCATCAATCTTTTTGCCATCAGCATGTTTGTAAGCAGCATGCATGTCTCGTTCATGTTCATACTCAATGAAAGCATAACCCTTGGGTTTACCAGTCTCCGGATCAGTAATCATTACGATTTTCTTTATAGGACCATAAATTTCAAATTCTCTTCTCAACTTGGACTCGGATGTATCGTAATTGACACGAGCCACAAACAAGGTGCGAAAGGGGTCTTCCGTTGCATTTTTAATTTCTTGAGGATCCCAAAGTGCTATTTCACGTTCTAGCTTATACGCTACCTGTTCAGCTTTTTCACGTCTCCGCCTTTCTAGACGTTCTTGTCGTGTCTCCATCTTCTTGGGTGCCGGTGTATCCTTTGGATCTTCAAAGTCATTGAGGAAATTGCCAACACCCAAGTAACCTCGAGATTTCTTTTCATGCGGCAACTTATCTACGGGCGGCATAAACGGTATGGGGTCCCGTGCGGCAAAAAGTGCCAATAAATTTGGCGGTAGGTATTGTGTCATTTTCGGTTTCTTTTATTGATTAATTGTTGGTTGATGAAAACGTCCTTTGAAAATATGAATCCTTTTTTCCTCGCACAAAATTTATACAAACCTGAGTAATGTTTTTTGTTGTTTAATTTTTAGGTTAATGGATAGCTAATAAATTTTCATTAATTTTCTCGTCTTACCTCTTCATTGCAAAACGCAAACACAATTATTTTATAATTTATAGAATTATTTCTATAACTTTCACCTATTACAGTTTTTCTAACTCAATTAAATTATAATATATTTCGATTTACAAGTGTATAAAAATAATTTTCTTATAATACAAGCGAAGGAAAAACAGAAATGGCTGCCTGACAGAGCCCTGCGCCGGCAAATATAAACGGCGGCGTCTGAGACTAAAAATATCGGCGGCGGCTTAAAATCGACAGTAAGCCGGCTAAGTTTTCAAATACGTTTAATACTAAAAGTATAAATTTGTTTATTATTATTAAATGCCACTAATGTTCAAATTATAATTTGTTTTGTTTTTATATCGAAATGAAAAGTCACCTTTTCGATGAAAACATTCAACTTGAATATAGATCCTAATTTACTCCAGGCAACACATGGTTAATTTCTTGTTTCTAGGTTCAACTTTATAGAAAACTCAAAAAGTACCAGGAGAAGTACCAAAAAGTAAATATTTATAGGTTCTCACTTAATCCGGGCTCTACATGATTAATTTCATGTCTCTGAAGAACCAAAAAGTCCCCTTTTATAGATTCTCATTTACTCCGGGCTTTGCGTGCTTAATTTTATGTTTCTAGGTTCAATTTAATGGAATACTCAAAAAAGTACTAGTCAAATTACGATAAAGTACCAATAAGTTCAATTTAATAGAAAACTCCGGTCTCTACATGCTTAATATCATGTTTATACATTTAATTTTAAAGAAAACTTAAAAAGGTACATATGTAGAACGAAAAAGTACCGAAAAGTACCTTTATTATTAATTTCCAGCTAGAGAATGAAAAATTACCAAAAAATGAAAAAAAAAAATTTCGGCGGCGGCTTTGACATTTTGTTCGGCGGCTAGGCTTAGCCGAATTAAAGTCGAATCGGAGCGGGTCTCTTGTGCCTGATGTTAATCTATTACAAAAGTGGCATAGGTAAAAAGTGCTACCAAGTCATTGCATATATTGTGTTAATGCTGGCAATTCTACAAACTACCTAGTAGAACTACCATTAAAGTATCTATATATATAAAAATTAATGTGTGTTTGTTTGTATGTTTGAACGTCATAGACTACTAAACGGCTGAACCGATTTTATTAAAATTTTCACAGCGTATTCATGTATGTCTGGAATAGGTAATAGGCTACTGTTTATTTTGGAATTCCAAGTGGGCGAGGAGCCACGCCCATATTAAGAAAATATAAAATCCGTATATTTTAGATAATATAACAGTTAGAATCTTCAAATTTTGTCGGAGCAACTTTAGTGTCAATATAATTATTTAGACAAAAAGTAGGCGGACTAGTATTAGGGAGCGTGGCACCTTCCATATAAATTAAAGACAAAAATTCGTTTATCTGGAAAACTAATGGAAATAAATTCTTCAAATTTTGCACAAAGAACTTAAATATTCATCTGAACATTTTGGAGGAAAAAAAGCGGACTTTAATCTGGGGGGTCTTGAAGCCTCCATATGAATTAAATAGAAAAATTCGTATAGAGCTAGAATCTTCAAATTTTAAATGAAGAACTTTGAAATTCATGTGAACATTTAGAGCATAACGGGAGGACTTTAAATGGGTGGCTTGGCACAACATATACATATGAATTAAATAAAAAATTTCGTGCATCTTGGAAACTCTTATATGATTCAAATTTTTTATAGATGGATAAAAATTGGCGATAGATAGAAACTGGCGAACTTGCAATAATTTGCTTGACATCTCTCATATGTAACATATTATAAATCTGGAAAACTATTGTAGTTAGAAAAAAAATCGTTAAGTGGGATTTTCATTTATACATATTCCTTTTAGGGTAGCAAAGTACACTGGGTATAGCTAGTTATCAAATAAAAATTACATTTTCAAAATTTCCCACAATGAAAAAAATATTAATCAAATACCAATAATTCTTCGTCCGTTTTTAATTTAAGGCCAATCGTAGAAAACATGAGTAGCAATTTTGATCAATAAATAGAAAAAGTTATAAAATTATCGACTTTAATAAGATAATCACCTTTTTCATCAAAATATTTCAGAATCAGGTTTGATACTCTTTTTTTTTTTTTTTTGTAAAATAGTTTGAGAAACAATTTTAATGAATGAAAAATGTTTTTAAATTATGAAATATCACCTTAAAGATAATGAATATTGGACAGCAAATGATATCTAAGAGTTTAAGACCTGTTAATAAACTTTTATATAAAATATCACTTGAAATTACCAGAATCTGTATTATTTCTTACAATTAAGAAACATTTCACATGTTTTTTAACAATACAAACCAGAGACTGGAAATAACGGGTCCACTTTGTTTTTATAAGGTTAATTGCTGTGATCACCATTTATAATTGTGTTTTTGCGGTTTATCACTGAGAGAAACCGAAAAGAAAAACTAAACAACTCGCTACAATTGATTTTTATTTTGTAAACATTTTTTAAAAGGTCTGCTTATGATTTTTATTTTTAAAAGCAAAACAATAAATCGCAAATGTAAATACACGATTAGGACACACATACACATATACTATCTTCAGAAATCATAGCAAACAACAACAATATACTCTCCCACTCTCATATAAGCAAGAGAAAAAAGGAATACAAAAACCAAGTGCTTAGCCAAAAACATATGTATGTAAGACCTGGTCCACACTAGGAAACTTTTGTTGAGAAACTTTTTCATAATTCTCTTTTGAAGTTTCCTTAATGTCCACACATAGAAACTTTTGTTTCAGAAACTATGTATTAATTGCATTGATTTGTTGTTGTACGAATGAGAAGAATAACAAAACAAAACAAGTTTCCGAGTACGAGAAACTCCGTACCGCGAGAGAGATGAATGATATTCTTTCTCTTTCTCTCTCACGCAAAATCAAAAGTTTCCCAAAAAAAGTTTCCTAGTGTGGACCGGCAGTAAGTAACAAAACAAAAGTAATAAAGGTTATACTAAACCATTTAAGTAAAAATCATTTTATAACTGTTATTCTGAGTGATTTATTAAAAAAAAAAAAAATCACAATTCAATCACTTTGGTTATGTGGCCCAGTTATTTTCAGTCTCTGATACAAACAGAGTTCATATTAGGGTGAGTCCTACCAATTCAAAAATAAATATACAAATATTTTTAAAATAAAATTGAAAGTATAAAAAATTTACAAATAAACAATAACAAAATTACAATAAATGGCCCTCAAAAAGTAATTGGAGTAGCCCATTGCATCTGGTTAAAAAAAGTGATGGGACGTGGAGGCCGTGTGGGGACTAACGTGCCCTTAACGCTCAAACCTTGCCCAACCGATACCCCTTACCATATTTAACTGATTTTACTAACAATTTACAAGGCATGAACATTTTTTCAAAAATGAGATAATGGTCCGAAGACAGCTATATCCAATCCGTTTGGATTTTTTGAGTTCAAATTTATGACCTTCGGCTTACGTAACCCTGCGCAGACGTTCCGGCGACTAATTAATGAATTTTGTATTCCTGTATATTGATGACATATTTGTAGCATCTACTACGTTCGAACAACATCATCGCGATCTTCGTCCAGTATTTCAACGCCTTCATGACAATTGCCTGGCTATTAATGTTACGAAATGCGAATTTGGTAAGTCTGAAATTATTTTTTTTTTGTTGACATCTTGTCGGGGTTGACATCATGCTAAACATGATAAAAAAATTAGCAGGTACAGACTGTATTTATTAGCGTTATAACGTCGTTATGACAGTGTTGTCTAAACAATTGTTTAGACAACGTTGTCTTGATAACAAACGTCATTTTATTGTAAAATTTGTTTAGAATTTTGTTCTTGTGCAATTAAAATTGATTTTTAGTTTTAATGAAATTAGTGTTTATTTACAAAATTTGCATTTAATTGTAATTGTTTTTATAAAATATATCATTTCAATAAAATTATCTGTGAGTTGTCGTGATAAAATCAGCATTTTGTTACCCCTATGCATTAACATAAACAAAAAACTGACAATTTTTCTGCCGACGTTTTGTCAAGTATCGTGATAAATATTTGTCTAATATAGACACGGGGTTACAACACATGATAATCGGAAATAAAAAGAAAGATACAACAGCATTGATATGGACCACAGAAACGGAAACCGCATTCAAGCGTTGCAAAATTATCCAACGCTACGTTATTAGCTCACCCAATGCCCGGTGCGGAATTAGTCATTTACGTTGACGCATCTGACACTGCCATAGGAGGAGCTCTACATCAAAAGATGTGTAATAGATTACAACCGTTAGCTTTCTATTATAAAAAGTTCACAGAGACGCAGCAGAAATATTGAACATACGACAGAGAGTTGACTGCCATCTATCAGACTTTCTGCCACTTCCGATATGCAAAAAAGGACGTTCTTCCCATATCATTACTGACCATCGACCCTTTATATTCGCCTTCAATCAAAAGATGAAGAAGGCGTCGCCACGCAGATTAAGGCAACTAGATTTCATCAGCCAATTTACTACTGATATACGCCACACCCCTGGAAAGGAAAAGGTAACAGCTGATGCATTATCCAGGATACAGTCTGTTCATCAAGCTATCAACTACGCTAGTTTAGCAGCAAGGTATGTCATCAAATTCGCTAGTATTAAAACAATTATATATTTTACAATGTGATGAACAAATTGTCTGTGATACGTCGACATCTGGTATTCGACCCTATGTTCCTAGAGATTTCCGTCACCAAATTTTAAGCGCTATACACAGTTTATATCATCCTGGCCAGGGATGAGAAAAGAAATTTCTAATGTCGTCAAAACTTGTTTGGCATGTAAACGATCAAAAATACAACGACACAATTCGTCAACACCGGTCATGTACGAGCCACCTCATGGACGTTTTGCTCACATTAATATCGACCTCGTCGGCCCATTTCCATTGTGCGAAGGACAACGTTACTGCCTAACTGTCATCGACCGATTTACACGTTGGCCCGAAGCTATTCCTGACATGGCTGCGGAGACTGTAGCAAAAGCACTGGTGACCCATTGGATATCCAGATTTGGAGTTGCGAATCACGTCCGACAGAGGTAGGCAATTTGAATCCTCAGTTTTCAGTTTTAAAGCGTACGAAGTATTTTACAGTATTAATGCGTGGTCGAAAAACAAATATTATCGATCGTTTAAAACCTTGTTTTCTTCCGGTTTCAGAAACTAACAATCTACATCTATCGCCTTCTCCGATGTATCGCAGCAACTACACAGAAGCATCTACCTTACTAAACACCAACACTTCTGAAGATATTCCTAAGTCATCCAGCGGTAGAAGAATAAAACTTCCAGTAAGATTTAGATGACCTTTTCCCAGCGAGGGGAGTGATGCAAAATAAACGGAATGCAGAAAATTGCAATGGCATGCACTTTGACATGTGTATGAATCTTTCTATTTCCTTTTGGCTTTTGCTGTGACCGGTTGGTAAAATATTAACTTTGTAATTCAGCACTTAAGATTTGATATAATAAATAATAGTTTCTATATAAACGAACTTGTTTTAATATAAGTTTGAGAACTATCGTAAAACGAACAGGTAACAAATACTAAATGTATTTGGATGCACTAGATGTGTTAGAAGCAGTTGAATCAAGTCTACCCGAAAACGCGACTAAAGCTCAAATCACAAAATATATCCGACGTTTATTAGGACTATGTACGTGATAAGTCTACATCAAAAGCTATGTGGAACGCATTGAAGGATGTGTTTGCAGTGAAATCATCTACATGTCAAACAATTATACGAAAGCTACTAACCAGATTAAAATTATCGGATAATAGAAAAATGAAAGACTACTTGAATTTGACAGTCTAGTAAGATAATTGCAACCGGTTGGAGCGGAAATAGCTGAGTGCGACTTGGTGTCGCAGCTATTTGTAAGTCTTCCTGATAGCTATGATCCTTTGGTAACTGCTTTGACTCTTCTACTAGTGAAGCAACGATTGCTGGCAGAAGAGAGAAAAAGGTATGATCGTAATGATGCAGCTGATGACAATAAAAGAGGTACTGTTTTTGCGGCTAAGAAGAATACATTTTTGAAATTTAATGGACAATTCCACAACTGCGGTAAGAGAGGTCATATGAAAGCAAATTTCAAAAGCAGTTTCAAAAGAGAAGCTTATATGGTAAACTATGCTAAAAACAATCATCAAGATGTTAAGATTGTGGAATTTGAAGAAGATAAGGATATTCCTGTAAGCTTTATGGTCAATAATAATATAACAGAAAATTATTGTATGCATTTTATTTTAGTTTCGGGATCGAGTGATCATTTGGTAAATGATCGAAAATTATTCAATACTAGTACTATTTTGAAAAATCCAATAGAGATAAATGTGGCCAAATAAAATGAAATGCTTATTGCTCATGAAGTTGGAGATATTACAGTAAACACTCAATTTGGAAAGCAAGTTGTTTTGTACGTGCCAAATCTAAGGGAGAACTTATTATCTGTTAGAAGATAACAGATAACAAAGAAAGAATAAGAACAGTGCTAATAGAATCAAGTGCTCCAAGGAAACTGTGGGGTGAAGCAGTATTAATGGCTGTACATTTAATAAATAGAAGTCAAACGAGATTTGTTAAGGAAGACCCCAGCTGAGTTATGGTATGGATACAAACCTATTGTTAAAAAGTTGCGCATATTTGGTTGCAAAGCTTACGCTTGGATACCAGAACAGAAGAGAAAAAACTTGATGAAAGAAGTCGATGAAAGAACAAACGATACTTCAATATTAAGACGAAGTGCTCGTGGTCTAAATTGTCGACATAAAGTAAAAAATGATAAGAAAATTATGTTTGCAAGTTAAATAAATCGTTATATGATCTGTAACAAAGCCCCAGATGTTGGAATGAGAAAATTAATAATTATTTAATTCAAATTGGTTTTAGTAGATTTTTAGAAAAAAATTATTAACAACTGTAGACAAAGTAGCCATTGCATCTTTGAAGGGTTATTGTTGATCACCACAGCTCCTTGGATTAGAATTTTGTGTACTGATGGAGGGAGGTAGTACCGGGGATACTCCTCAACAAGTTTTCTGGCTGTCTCTACAGCATATTCCTCAAACTTTTTGGCATCAATTTCAAATTTAATTTTAGATATTTTACGCCTCTTTGACTTGAAAAATTCCTTAGTAGAACGCTCACGCTTTTGACTAGGTGCTGGTAGTCATTTTCCAAGTTTTCCATAGTTTCAACACATTCAAACCATTTTTATGCTCCTTTAGAATAACTAATTTACTTCGATAATTTTTAGTCCAAAGTTTACCATTTTGCAAATCACATCCATAGCAAAAATATGCAAAAACCCGCAGCCACAATATTGTTTATTTAAAGAAGATATTTAAAGAGGGATTAAAAAAAATCTACAATAAGTTGTGGGCAAATGAGGGCCAAATAACTAAAAGTCTTCGTGAAAAATTAGTTTTTAAGAAACCTGTGTTTTGAAAAGGTCAAAAAAGTATTCTTCAGGGATTTTTTTGGGCTTACATTTTTGCAGTTTTTGTCATTTAATCTGGTAGAAAATAAGTTAAAATTTAATGTTTGCAAGATTTTTGGAAACTTTTGCCACAATAACACAAACAATTTTTTAATTAAACTTAAGTTTTCTTATATGACTTTGCAACCACAATATATGCAATATGAACATACTCGCAAAAAATCAATAAAATTTATAGTTTTATCAATAAATTTAGTGCATGCAATAAAGCTTAGAAAAAACACCAACTTTTTTTGATTTTTGACCTATGAGGGAATCCAGGTAGAGGCCTAGTTGTATTTCTTCAGGTGGAAGTACACAACCTGCATTGAGGCGTCAACACGTTCAACAATTTTCAAGCTTTTCGCGATTTATAAGCTGCAATTTACACACCGCGCTTCATTTTGGTCTAAATTAAATTTTAATATTTTTTAAGACTATTACTGTTGTAAAAATCAAAATTTTAAATTTTAGCGTCAAAAGTTTAAAGTTGCTGATCTTTTTGCTGTAGACGCGCTACAAACCATAGTGTGTAACTTGTTAAACACTATTTCAACGTTTTAGCAGAAGTCCATAACGCGTTACAGCGTGCAACGCGTGTTGTTTACTTCCACCTTTCGGATTTGAAGTTGTATATACAGTGTCTCTCATAAGTATTCGAATTTAGGTAAACTATGAAAAGAAACCAAATTTAATAATATATTTTGTGTGGGAAATAAATAAATAAATTTGTTATATTGTCTAGATAGTCTTTAGTTTTGATATCACGCCCCTTAAAACTTGAAAACTTTACATTTACTTAAATTAGTTATGCTTTTTTTAAAAAAAGTCCATGAAACTACTTCACAAAAGTATGCGAATTTTTCCTGTATTTCATATTTGATCATATTATACGATACACACATTTTAGAATCGCATGGTTTTATGCTTAATATGGTTTTAAGGGGTTACTATCAACCGCATGGATATATTTTTGACCCATTTGGTCCACAATTTTGGGGGATTTGTACCCTCTTTTCATGTAATATCATTAAAATGGCGATTTTTGGCTATATTTGTAATGTTTTCACCCTTTTTCCAGAGATAAAACCAAAATTTAATATTGGAATTAAATAGAAACCATAGGGTATCTAAAAATAATATTTTTTGTTATAAGGATCTGTACTTAAACGTTCCAAGATGTATTTTTGGTATCGTTTTGCAGTTTCTAATTGAATTATCTGGATCATAAGTCCCTTTTCGTACCTCTAGGGACGATATTTTCCGACAAAGTTGTCTAGTGTATATTCATGTACATATTGACACTAATGTATTTTAAATTTTCAATATATTATAGCGGTATACAACTCCAAAACATGCCTTAACAAAACGTCATCCTATATAGTAGATTTCAGTTTTTACTACTCGTAACTTTCACGCTTATGTTGCCCGTTACAATAACACTGTAAGTCCTAAATTTTGGTTTTAATTTGATCATAGTAAATAATATTTAAACACATATCAACATTTTTGATGTGATCATAATGATATCGTGCCATGCAGCATGGAGGCCATTGGTATATAAAAATAATGATTTTACTATTTTGAATGGTGTTTCTTCGAGGCATGTTTTGGAGTTGTACACTTCCACAACACATTGAAAACTTAAAATGTATAAAAGCTGATATCTAAAAGAATATATACCAGAAAACTTTCCCCGAAAATAGTTGATCCTAGTATTATAAAAATGGACTTAAGTTCCAATATATTGAATTAGCGAAAGAAGAATGATCCGAATAATTTATCTTGGAACGTTTAAATACAGATTCTTGTAACAAAAGATATTATTTTTAGATACCCCAAGGGGTCTTTTGAGTCCCAATATAAAATTTTTGTTTTATCTCTGGAAAAAAGGAGAAAAATTTACAATTATGGTCAAAAATCGCTATTTTAATGATATTACATGAAAAAAGGGTACAAATTCCCCAAAATTGTGGACCAAATGGGCCAAAAATATATCCTTTCCGTGGATAGTAACCCCTTAAAACAATATTACGTATAAAAACCATTCGATTCTAAAATTTGTGTTGCGTATAATATGATCAAATATGAAATACAGGAAAAATTCGTATACTTTTGTGAGGCAATTTCATGGACTTTTTTTAAAAAAGCACAATTAATTTAAGTCAATACAAATTTTTCAAGTTTTAAAAAGCGTGATATCAAACATAAGGACTATCTAGACAATATAACAAATTAATTTATTTATTTTGCACACAAAATATATTATTAAATTTGGTTTCTTTTTATAGTTTACCCAAATTCGAATAATTATGAGAGACACTGTATGTATACACACCCTCCTTTCAAACTAACTTTAGTTTGAAAGGAGGATGTATATAAACTTTTTCTTAATTCTCTTTCCTTAATGTCTACACATAAAAACTTTTGTTGCAGCAACTACGTATTAATTGCATTGTTTTGTTTTTGTACAAATGAGACAAAACAAGTTTCTGCCGGTCCACACTAGGAAACTTTTTTTGGGAAACTTTTGATTTTGCGTGAGAGAAAAAGAGAAAGAATATCATTCATCTCTCTCGCGGTACGGATTGTCAATAATTTTTAATGTCGAATTTGACAACCGTTCGCTTCAAGTCTGTATATATCTATGAAGAAAACAAACTTTTTTCAATTTTGGCAAATTTTGTATGTAAAGCTATGTATACACGGTTGTTAGATCTTACAACGTTGGCAGTAAAATGTGCAGAAAATGTCTAACAACGGCGTCAATTTACAAATTTTATCTTGCAATATTGTCAGTAATGCTTTTTTTGACAACGTTGCAATAGAAAAATTTCAAGTTTACACGATTGTTGGACATTTTCTGCACATT